AGAAGAACTTCCTGACAGAGTGTTTCTTCAGTGGAACAGGCTTCCTCAGGAGGTGGTGGGCTCTCCTTCTTTGGAGGTTTTCAAACAGAGGCTAGATGGCCATCTGACAGCAATGCTGATTGTGTGGATTTAGGCAGATCATGAGAGGGAGGGCAGGAAGGGTTGCCTCAGTGCTTAGTTCTTGTGGCCCTTTCTTACTTGCCCAGGGAAATGCTAATCATCTTGGGGTCAGGAAGCAATTTTTCTCCAGGCCAGTTTGGCTGGAGATCCTGGTGGATTCCCTTCTAGGCATGGAATAGGGGTCACTGGGGTTTGGGGGGGAGGTATTTGTGAATTTCCTGCATTGTGCAGGGGGTTGGACTAGATGACCTTGGAGGTCCCTTCCAGTTCTATGATTCTATGATCTAAAGGAATCTAGAGAATCTAGCAGTTGACAGTTGAACGGTGACAGGTGAGTGTGCTGACTTAAGGCTAAAGGAAAGAGAGTGATGAACTCTAGGGAGTTAAAAAGAAAAGGGTGTTAAAAAGATTTTGTGTGTTAAAGATAAAACAGAAAGGCTTATGGTTATCTATTTAGGATGTGTTAGTCTCCAAATCCCTCACAATTAATCCAGATGGTCAAGTAGTTTGGGCAGGTAACATGTATATGTTGACTCAAGCCGTAGCACATGTTGATAAAATATATTTCAATGATGGGGTACCTTTGGATACTCTGCACTTTTTCTTTGTAATAAATTGTTTTGTTTGGTTTGCAGCAGGTTGCCAAATGCTGCTGAGTAGTTCATGCATCCCCAGGAAAACGCAGGGAAAGATCACAACAGGACCTGTGCTAGAGTTTTTTAAAACGTGTATTTCTTACAACTTTTCTCTGTGTTGCTCAGCTGGTGACTTCATTGCTGGTGCTGTTCCTAGTCTATGGCCTGTTTGTAGGACAAAACAAAACTTGGTAACATGAATGGGGTGGTGGTGGTATTTTCATCATTCAGAAGTAGTTCTAGTTAAAGAAAAGATTGCCAACCTAGGCTTGTAATAGCAGGAGGCCTCCCTTTGCAAGCCCCGACTCTCACTGCTGTTAAGGCCAGCAAGAGAAAAAATAATAGAATAAATAATTTAAAATATAATAGAAAAATAAGGGAATAAATAATAAAAAATCGAATAGAAAAATAATAGAAAAATCAGCATTACTAGCATGATGTCATGATGTCATTCCTAGGCCAAATTTGGAAGTGGAGTCATATCACTCTAGGATTCAGCAGAAACTCTATGGCTGGGGTCTCCAAACTCGTTGAGCCTGTTGGGCACAGGTTGGTGGATACAACCATAAAATGTCTGTCACACGAAGTGGGGACAACAACAAAAATGGCTTTTTTTGCATAACTCTAACAGGTCATGCATTACTCTAACAGTAACTTTTTAAGCTGTTTTACAAAATGCCTTATAAAATGAACATATTATTTAAAAATGTTTTCTTGAATATACATAGCTTACCTTCAGCCACACAGTGAAGATCTTTGTGCTATGGTGATAACTGGTGCCAAAGCAGGTTTTGTTTTGTTTTTTTAATCAGCACAGCCAATATGATCTCCACTGGCCAATGATTAGCCCTTCTGGGCAAAAGTTCCACTTGCCCTTCCCATTTTCTAAAACACTTGGTGGGCGCAAAGAAAGGTGTCAGCAGTTGCCATGATGCCTGCGGGCACATCACTGAGGACCCTTGCTTTCTGATAAAACCATTGGTTGGCAACCCTTTGCCAACTTTTCCTGTACACTGTTTTGTTTTCCTCTCATTCTGATGCCCACTCAGCAGGAATAAGGCAGGAAGTGAATTATCTCTCAGATGGGACTACAGTATAAGCTTTGGTAAAGCAGTTTAATCAGAGATGCAGTTTAAAGGCAAGCTCAGAATGGTGGCAGCAGAAAGGATACTGATGGGTGAGGGTCAGTGAAGCACCCTGCCTGGATTCAGTATGAAGACAAAACAGGCAGTAGCAGAGAGAGGCTAGCCATTTTGTCATAGACACCAAATACATTGATGGTACGTGGAGGGAGAAGCTTGGGAAGTCATTGCCTCATAGTCTGTCAAAAATCCACATTTCCTTACCACCTAGAAATCTTCATGGGGGGGTGGTCATACCTTTAATTGATGTATATGTCTGTTCATATAAACTGAGATGAATAGTTTCAGAATTTTGAAATTCAGCATGTACTAGCAGAGGTATTAGATGAACTACCAAAGCAAGAAAGAGAGTTGAAGGATATGCCTTGGCAATGTCAAACACAGTTGTAGATTTTGGCACACCAGTTGGCCTACTTAACAGAAGGCAAAGACCAGAATCTCAGGAATAGGAATTCTAAAGGTAAAGGTAAAGGTTTCCCTTGCTTGAAAGCCAGTCGAATCCGACTCTAGGGATGTGGGGCTCATCTCCGTTTCCAAGTTGAAGTCAGCGCTGTCCAAAGACGTTTCTGTGGTCATGTAACTGGCATGACTAGACACCACGGCGCACAGAACGCTGTTACCTTCCCACCAAAGTGGTACCTATTTATCTACTTGCAATTTCTTGCTTTTGAACTGCTAGGTTGGCAGGAGCTGGGACCAGAGACGGGAGCTCACTCCGTCTTGCAGTACTCAGGTCTCGAACTGCTGAACTACCGACCTTCCACAGCCTGCAGTTCAGCATCTCAACCACTCACTCACATCTAAAAAAAAATTCTCTAAATATTCATATATCCACAGTTTGTGGATTGAATGGGATGTGGAGTATTAAACCACCAGTAGAGTTGCCAGCTCCAGATTGGAAAATTTCTGAGGATTTTGGGGGTGAAGTATGGAGAGTGATTTCAGTGGGGTATAATGCCATAGAGTTCACTTTCCAGAGCATCCATTTTCTCCAGGGGAACTGATCTCTGTTGCCTGGAGAGCAGTTGAAATCCCAGGAAATCTCCATTCACCACCTGGAGGTTGGAAACCCTAACCAGTGTTTCAGTTTGTTCAAACAATTGCTAGGGGAGGGGTACAAAAGGGTCTCCCCAGACCTCCAAAGTTGTCTGTTTCTAACTCAGGATCAAATATGCTTACCTGTGCAAAACAGAAATTGACCCCCATGCTTCATAGCCAAGCATTTGTCAGGCTCAGTAAGCATTTTATGGTTTGCCTGCCATAGAGGAAGGGGGAGAGGGGTGTGAATACCAAATGCTTTCATTTTCCTAAATGCTTTGATGTTGCAGAGACCTGTTGTTTTGCTTTATTTCTTTAGAGGGGTATGTGCTTAGTGGGGGGGGTAGTTGTCCCTTAAGTCTGGTGGGCAAATGCGTGGGGTGATTGGGTCCTGACCTTTAGTGCCTTTGCTTGAACACAATATATCTGCAATCCCCGCGCTTTCACCTCCAGTCCTAACAAAGCTCGTGTTCAGTATGGTATTCTTCAATGTCTCAATAAACTAAACTTTCTTCAGAGTGAGTGGTGTTGAGAACTGATTCAACCAGGATTCTGACAGCATTTCACACTTTGTTACATCACATTATTTATAGTCTGCCTTTCTCGCAGGGTCTTGAGGCAGATTGCACATAGTGAAGGAGTGCAATCAACAAAATGGAACATTTGATAACCAAATGCATTAGGATTTTAGAAGCATAAGTATTCACATGACACATTAAGCAGTACAGAAATTACATAATAGGATCCCGCTTGTGTGTGTGTGTGTGTTTGTGCGAGTATGCGTGTGTGTGTGAAGTGTCATCAAGTGGCTTCCGACTTATAACGAACCTATGAATTAATGTCCTCCAAAACACCTTACCTTTAACAGTCTTGTTCAGGTCTTGCAGACTGAGGGCCGTGGCTTCCTTTATTGAGTTAATCCATCTCATGCTGGGTCTTCCTCTCTTCCTGCTGCTGCCTTCAAGTTTTCCTAGCATTATTGTCTTTCCCAGTGACTCTTGTTTTCCTAATTACAATGAGCTGTACACAGCAATATCTTTTATCCAAGCAAGTTTGTACACCATTTTATATGGTGCAGTCCTGTTACCTGATCAGCGCTTGGATGGGAGACCAGGGTCCAGGAGGGGAAGTCCAGGGTCACTCTGCAAAGGCTGACAATGGCAAACTACTTCTGTTGATCCCTTGCCTTGAAAACCATATGGGGTTTCCATAAGTCAGTGTCAACTTGACACATTTTCCATAAAATCTAGCTGAGCCACACTCATCTGATTTTGTTCCTAATGTAACATTTCTTCTCGATGTACTAAATGAGAAAACAAGAATATCAGTACGATAAAAGGCCACTAACATATCCTATTTCCTTGAATATTTGAAAAGATTTAAATTATGAGACATTTTGCATATGATGTTTACCATAGTTTTATTTACATGTAAAATGCTGCTTTGAAAAATCTGGTGCCAGATTGTGTATTTTAGAAACATTATCTCAAAAATGGTATAGAATTTGGCTATTACTTACAAAAATGAAGAAAAAACCCAATTTGTGTATGGATATTTTCATGGGATTATTCTCAGAGTTCTTGTATGTGAATCATGATTATCTGAAGATTTTGTTTCGGACATAACATCCGCTGAAAACATTTCACCCCTGGAAACAGGCATGAATGATAGTTGTTCTCTTTTGGTCCCTTTCCCTTCATTTCCAGTTTGCTGTAGCCTTTTTCTTTCAGTTCTTGCTATGCATTTTCATTTATGCCCTCCATGGTATATTATGTGAACAGACAGATTATGCATTTTCAAAATAAATAAATCATAAACTGATTTGCCTTTTATTTGCATGTTAACATTACAGTTGTTTGTATTTGTTTCTGAAGTCTCAAAAGCTCTCAGGGAGCTTTTTTGCATTGCTATTAACATGTTTGTCTTCATTTTTAACTGGATTGCTGGTCATAGATACCTGAATCTTCTTTCTATCAGTCTGCAGCATAATTGCACGCTTCAACGAAAATCAGATGCCACCAAAGCTGCTGCGTTTTTCTACAATACATTCTTTTCCTTTTTGCAGGTGGCCTTCAGCCTTCGTTAGACCTCTTATTGCTTTGAGCTGCTGGATAACCCAGAGAGAGAGAGAGAGAGAGAGAGAGAGAGCATACTGATCAGCCCAAAAACTTTTAACACCGATCAGTGTCTGTGGTAACGCTATTATTCACCAACAGCAGGTAACAGATCTGTGATCAAATTAATGATCCACTTTGGAGAAAAGGCACAGCAGTTCCAATAAGATTTCATTGTTTTGATTTAAGGGAACTGTTGGTAGTAATCATTACTTTAAGACTCTAAGGATGTAGGATACAGTGTTAAGAACCCGTTTGTGATTCCATTTATTTTTTTGAACATGGGGTTTAGCCCCACATAATTTCTCAGGTTAATTTAATAGAAAAATAGGTCTTTTTTGCCAGTGTCAGTCCTGATGTTCATAGCACTTATTCATTTGTCTTTGTAACATCTGATAGTTTACATCAAGGTGATTTGATACCAAAGATAAATGGAATGCCATGAAGTATTCTGAGCAGTGAATTACAAATATATATAAATCATGTGATGCAGAAAAGTTCTGCAGTATTTCACATAGCAGGGAAAATTTGTGTTTGACTGTTTCTTTCATGTTAAAAAAAAATCCTCAAAACCTTTGTCCAGATATAAAAATGTCTGGGAGGCTAGTCTTGAATTCTTTCCTGGATATACTTTTTTAATAAGCAGGAAACATTCAGTTCATCTTCCATCTTCGGTACAGCCCCAGACTGAGACAGCGCCTGCGTGCAGAGGCCATCCTTGGATAGGAATTCTTCTAGCTTCTAGGCATCAGAGGGGGTACCCCTGCCTTCCGGAGCCAACGTGATGGCTTTTTCCTGCCTAAACCATCATGTGCTTCATGCCCCCTTCCCTCAGTTCCTTTTCTGCTGCCACCAAGATAGGAACCTCTTTGCTGTGCTGCGTCGCTTGCTTCAGCTTCTTCATTTTCACTCTTCAAAGTGGTTTGAAAGTGTACCCTTTTTTTGCATGTAGTGTCAGGGTTCCTTGTTGGATTTCTTCGACTCGGCTTGTTTGGCAGGTGCGGTAACTTTTGTCAACCTCCTCACACACACACACACACACCGCTTGTGGCTGTCGGGCCTTTGAGACCTTCTGCCATGTCGGTCAAAGCCCTCTTTAAAAAATGCACTCAGTGTGCAACCAAGATGGCTAACAATGATGAGCATGATTTATGCCTGCTCTGTTTGAGGGAAGCCCATAACATCTCTTCCTGCAAGAATTGCCAGGGTTTTACCCAGAAAGCCCAATCAGACAGGGCTTTTCATTTAAAGGCAACTTTCTGAGAAAGGGTTCTTTCTTCATTGGAACCACCCAAGTTGGCCCCAGCAACCTCTCAAGACACTTTTGCTTCTTGATCTGTTTCGTCAGTTCTGACCTCTGAACCCCATTTGGGCCTCAGTTCCGGCAGTTCCATGCTTGGGAAAACCCAGATCATACCAGAAGAGGGCTTCCTCTATTGTTCCAACCTTGGAATTGAGCTGACGGCATTCACCATCTCTGTCCCACTCACTTACGATGCGTGTGACTTCTGAGCCACTGGCAAAAAAACCCCAAGAAAATGAAGCACAAAGAGAAGTTGGGTTCCTTCTCCATTTCCAGACGTTGGAGAACTGTTTCTCCCACTGTTTCCCCTGCCACCAGGGACCTTGATGTTATTTTCATCCCAGATTCCCACCTAGGACACCATCCATCCGAACCCCGGTATGGTCCATTCCTGAACTTCATTTGGATCAACCAGGCAGTTCAAGTGGGAAACGCAGACACTTCTCGTCAGATCCACTGGAGGAGGAGGAGAGGAGATTGGATTTATATCCCGCCCTTCACTTGGGGTCTCAGAGCGGCTTACAAACTCCTTTCCCTTCCCCTCCCCACAACAGACACCCTGTGAGGTGGGTGGGGCTGAGAGAACTCTGACACAAACGGTTCTTTTTCAAGGACAGCTGTGCCAGAGCTTGTGACTGACCCAAGGTCACATCAGCAGGTGCAAGTGGAGGAGTGGGGAATCAAACCCGGTTCTCCCAGATTAGAGTCCACGCACTTAACCACTACACCAAACTGGCTCACTGGTTTCATCTTCTTGGCCTCAGAGCTATCCTTCACTCGAGTGGCCTCCCTTCTGTATGTCCCCCCCCTTACCTTCATCAGTGGTCCAAATTCTGTGCACAACATCCCCAGTTTACATCGAGTCACTTCCTGCGAGTGACTCCAGACACCATGAGGTTCAGGTCCTTTTCTCGCATCCAGTTTCCCAAGACTTGGAACTGGTGGAGATAAGATCCTCAGTCGTCTCTACCTTGACTCTTCTGGGATCGTAGCCTTTCCTGTTCTGGAAGGCCTCACTGAACTTGCAGTCCTGATTTGGTAGAAGCCTGCTTCAACACCTGCTACCTCTCGTTGGGTGGGAAATCTGTGTAAGGTGAGGCAAGATACCTGTGTCTTCTTGGTCACTCATCCACCACCTTCTTCCTTGGTCATGGAAGAAATGCAAATACAATAGAGACCTGGGCAGCACTCTACCACTTTTGATACGGGGAGTAGGTGTTTAGATGCCCTAGGCCAAAAACTATATTCGTCTGCTGTTTTGAATTTCAGAATTTCATAACATAAGAACATAAGAGACGCCAATGTTGGATCAGGCCAAAGGCCCATCCAGTCCAACACTCTGTATCACACAGTGGCCAGAAATACCAGTGCCATCAGGAGGTCCACCAGTGGGGCCAGGACATTACAAGCCCTCCCACTGTTGGCCCCCCCAAGCACCAAGAAGACAGAGCATCACTTGCCCCAGAGCCCCTATCTATACCTTGTGGCTAATAGTCACTGATGGACCTCTGCTCCATATGCTTATCTAATTCCCTTTTGAAGCCGTCCATGCTTGTAGCCGCCACCACTTCCGGTGGCAGTGAATTCCATGTGTTAATCACTCTTTGGGTGAAGAAGTACTTCCTTTTATCCGTTCTAACCCGACCGCTCAGCAATTTCGTGGAGTGCCCACGAGTTCTTGTATTGTGAGAAAGGGAGAAAAGTACCTCTTTCTCTACCTGCTCTATCCCATGCATAATCTTACCTCAATCATGTCACCCCTCAGTCGTCGTTTCTCCAAGCTAAAGAGCCCTAAGCGCTTTAACCTTTCCTCATAGAGAAAGTGTTCCAACCCTTTTATCATTCGAGTTGCCCTTTTCTGCACTTTTTCCAAAGCTATAATATCCTTTTTCAGGTGTGGTGACCAGAACTGCACACAGTATTCCAAATGAGGTCGCACCATTGATTTATATAGCGGCATTATGATATTGGCTGGTTTGTTTTCAATACCCTTCCTAATAATCCCCAGCATAGCATTGGCCTTCTTTATTGCAGTCACACACTGTCTCGACATTTTCAGTGAGTTATCT